CCCTCCAGCCCCACCTCACCTGGCACTTTTCCCTGCAACCGCAGGAAGTGCTACACCTGCCCCTACACCTCCCCCCTCACCCCCAATCCAGGCCCCAAGAAGACTTTCCACATCAAGCAGATGTTCACCTGCACATCTGCTAATGTGGTATACTGCATCCGCTGTACCCGTTGTGGCCTCCTCTACATCGGGAAACCAAGCGGAGGCTCGGGGACCGCTTTGCAGAACACCTACGCTCGGTTCGCACTAAACAACTGGACCTCCCAGTCGCAAACCATTTCAACTCCCTCTCCTATTCCGCGGACGACATGTCCATCCTGGGCCTCCTGCAGTGCCACAACAATGCCACCTGAAGGTTGCAGGAACAGCAACTCATATTCCGCTTGGGAACCCTGCAGCCCAATGGTATCAATGTGGATTTCACAAGCTTCAAAATCTCCCCTCCCCCTACCGCATCCCAAAACCAGCCCAGCTCATCCCTGCCTCCCTAACCTGTCCTTCCTCCCACCTATCCCCTCCTCCCACCTCAAGCCCCACCCCCATCTCCTACCAACTAACCTCATCCCGCCCCCTTCACCTGTCCGTCCTCCCTGGACTGACCTATCCCCTTCCTAACTCCCCACCTACACTCACCTTTACTGGCTCCATCCCCGCCTCTTCGACCTGTTTGTTTCCTCTCCACCTATCCTCTCCTCTATCCATCTTCTATCCGCCTCCCCCTCTCTCCCTATTTATTTCAGAACCCCCTTCCCCTCCCCCATTTCTGATGAAGGGTCTAGGCCCGAAACGTCAGCCTTTCTGCTCCTATGATGCTGCTTGGCCTGCTGTGTTCATCCAGCCCCTCACCTTGTTGTTTCTCATTTTTAGGTATGCCTGGTGCTGCTCCTGCCATGCCTTCTTACACCCTCTGTTGAATTGGGGCTGGTCCCCTGGCTTGATGGTAACGGTCGAGTCGGGGATATTTTAGGCCACGAGGGTGCAAATTGTGCTGGAGTACAATTCTACTGCTGCTGATGGCCTACAGCACCTTATGAATGCCCAGTCTTGATTTGCTAGAGTTATTCAAAGTCGATTTCATTTAGCACAGTGATAGTGCCACACAACACAACGGAGGATATTCTCAAAGTGAAGGCAGGACTTCATATCCATAAGGACTGTGTGATGGTCATTCTTACCAATATTATTAAGGACAGATGCATCTGCAGCCAGTAGATTAGCCAGGATACTCCAACAAACCACTGACTAGTGCCTTATAGATAGTGGACACACTTTGAGGAGTCAGGGGGTGAGTTAGCCTGCAAGACTGCTAGCTTCTTTACTGTCAGCACTTACTGCTTTGCTGAGTATTTTTGGATAGCAGGCTTAGCACGTGACTAATTTGGACCAGGTTGCAGCACTGAGATTCCCAAATCCACCATTGAGGACCAGATGGAGGGTAATGTAGGAATGGTCTTCATAAGGTGCACACCAGCCCCACTTGGACAGGACTCACTATTCCTGCTGTGTCATTAGGTTAATACCCTGTAACTTCCTGCTTAAGCAGCACTGTGACACCCCTTACACTACAGGAGTGACAACAGGTCAAGATTCAGACCATCGCCATAACCTCAAGAGCAGGGATAGGCAACAAAACTCTCACCTTGCCAGTGATGCTAGAGACTACCTACAATTCCCAAGTGAGTCCAGCAGGCAGAATCATCTTCTGGCTTTGGGGGAATGTTGTAAACAAGCTGGTGTTGAACCAGAACGTGTGCAACAAGAGAAACCCTGAGATGCATCCCAGAATTTAAATCCTTTCTGCAACTGTACAAAACATGCAAAATCTTGATCAAGACCAAGATTCGCAATAACACCAAAACTGTTTAGTGAGAAATCTAGCATTTCCACATATCGAGAAATTAATTTTGATGGAAAAATACGGATGTTTACAACAGTGTTTCACACTTGGAGAGACAGGACTGAAACAGTCACTTGGAAAAACAAGGGCGAAATAGACTTCAAAAACAAAAGATTTTCCTCTACTGCACTGTAAGGTGCTGATCCACAAATTCCCTACAAACACTTAAAGGCTAGTTAATAAATGGAGACTCATGCAACAGAGAGATGGCATGAGCTTAAATAGAAGATTGGCTTAAGTACAAGTTAGAAAACAGTACATGGTTGTTTTTCAGACCAGAAGAAAGTAGATGGTGATGTTCCCGAAGGTCACTGCCAGGACCACCCTTTTATTGGTAGATATAAATGACTTAGATATTGAAATAAAGTTTCAAAACTTACAACGGCACCAAAGCTTGGAGGGATGGCCCTACCTCTGAACTTGAAGACCTGGGTTTAAGTCTCACCTGTAATAACAATTCTAAACAGGTTGATTAAATTATTTTTGAAGGTGTGGCAGACTGGGGTTGAAACCAATCAACTGCAACAGTACTGGTCTTCACTGCAAGTGGAAATATCAAATGCTTAACCTATCAAGCCCTTTCACAATCTTCAAGGTGTCAAATGAATCACCCCTCAGCCTTCTCTTTGTTGGAGAAAAAGAACTCCAGCCTGCTTAGGCTTTCCTGATAGGTGTGACACCCCATATCTGTGGATACTTGCACCCTTTCCGGTGCTTCTATTCTCTGGTAACCTGGAGATGAAAACTGAGTACTGTATCCTAAATGTACGCTAACTAAATTTGACATTGCAAATTAAAATTTATGTAGTGTAGTGTGCATTTTCCTGTAATTACAGGCCCCATCCATGTCACTTAGCAAACCATCCCGAGAACTTCACAACAAACAATCACATTCATGTGGAACAATAGACTCTGGCTACAATTAACTAATGTTTCTAATTATAAATTTCCACAACAATGTGATCCTACACAGCCCACCTGTAGCATGCTATAAATGAAGTAAATAAGATAGCCTCAACCACAACAGGTAGTAACACTTTCCACCATTACAGTAAGCACTTTGCTGCAATTCTCAACATCCAATTTCCAGAGAGAAAATGTATTTAGGATAGCAAATAAACAAATATTTTAAAATCTCACGCAGGGATTGGTGTCTCTCTTAAACCAAGGAGTTCCCTAAATTCAATTCCCCAGACTGACCTGGGTTAACTTTTCAACCAGGTTGGTAAATGGATGCTGCATTTGGCATGTATGGGTGAGATTGGCAGGAAAATTAATTAAGCCTGGGCTCCACCTCAGATTGCTATCTGATTGGAAATGGCCTTCTTGGTGCTGGGAATATGGTTTCATTATGATGCCCCCCCAAGTCCCTCCCCAACCCATATCATAACAGAAATGATCTTCTCTGCTATAAGATCATTGCTGATTTATTGTGGCCTTAACTCCACTTTCCTACCTATTGCTTATACCCTTAGATTCTTGACTAATGAGAGTCAATCTAGGATCATAGGAACAGGAGTAGGCCATTCAGCCCCTCAAGCCTGTTCTACCATTCAATGTGATCATAGCTGCTCTGTGGCTTAACTCCATATACCTGCCTTTGGTTCCAATCTTCTAATAATCTTTGAGTAATGGAAAATCTCAGAATTTACAACTGATCCAGCATTCAATGCCAACTATAGAAGAGTTCCAAATCTTTCCCACTCTGTGTAGAAGTGCTTCCTAACATCTCTTCTGAACAGTTGGGCCCTAATTCTTAGACAATGCCCCCTAGTTCTAGAACTCCCAACCTATGGAAATAGTTTATCCCTGTCTTGTCCTGTTAATACTTGGAAGACTTGCTCTGCCTTAAAAATATTTAATGACCCATGTACACCTCTGAGAAAAAGTTCCGTAGACTCTCAGACATCAAAATAATTCTCATTCCCATCTTAAATGGGAGACACCTTATTCTGAAACCTGTCTCCTAGTTCCAGATGCTCCTTCAAGGGCAAACAGCTTTTTGTATTCACCATTTTTCAAGCCTCATGTCTCAATTCTTCCAAACTCTGGATATAGACTCAATATTTCAACAGAAGACTCACCCTCTTATCGCAGGAATCAGCCAAGTGAATCTTAACTGCCTCCTTGACAGAACAACTTGCTCACCCTCTCAATAAAAGTTGGGAAATCACATGGACACTCGCTCCATCAAAGCGCCTCCTAGCAGAGAATCCTTAGTTCAGAATTAAATGCGTAAAATTTAAAAACAAAAATAACATTTTGCACCATAGGAGCCTTTTCACCAAAAGCCACTCACATCTACTAACAAGATCCTAACAAGTGGTGTGAGCATTCAGATACGGACCGAAAAGAAATCAAAATTTCCTGTAATCCTATTTGTTCCATTTTGATCAAATCGACCAATACCTTAAGGTGAGGAAAAGAGCTGGTGACAAAATTAAACCACAGTTACCAAACAGAACATTTTCCAGTTAAATCTGGTTTCATTGACTCTTGTCAGAGAGATTCACACTTGGAAAGTTCTCATTCTAACTCAGAACACCCTCTTCCCTCACTTTGAACTGATTTTATCGCTTGTTGTTAATAGGCTTTTTAACCATAAATCTCTTTACAAGCCATTTCATGTGATATCCTACTTTATATTTTTGGAACAGTAGGGCTCCTCCCATACGCGGCTAAACATAAATCTTTATACTTTAAATCATGGGATACGATATATATGTCAACCCATTTTTCCAGCCCCAAGGAGCACGTACTCCGTACAAGTTGACCCCCTTACCCAATTTTCAGCCATGACTTGCTATACCCTACATTAGTCAGCCACAGCTTTTCACCCCACAAAATGCATATTTTACTTACCACTACTTTAAAACCAGGTGCGTGGGATTAAGCAACTGTTATGAGCCATGTTGCAATGACAGCTGGGAGTTTACAACAATCCTGGTCTTTACTTCAGTTGACGGCATTCCAAAACGGCAACCAAACATACTGGCAATTCACTTTTAAGGCTTGTCCCCATGTTTTGGAGGGCTTTTTTCCGTGGTTTCTCATACTCAACTTATATTCCAACATCTACGGTAATATTAGTGACCCTTTGTGGTTGTGTGCACCAGGTCAATTTTATGAAACAAAATGTGTTCCACAATAAAAATATACACAAATCTATTCCCAACATGGCTCTCCCAAAATTCAAGTTGATTGTAAAACCTTGCTACATGATACAGAGGATCCAGATATACTCCAACACACAAAGCAATTTCCATTTTGCAGTAACGCACGGATGTTTTGTAGAACACAGCAGACACTCTCACAATTCAGGACAAAGCTGCCTCTTTAATTTGGAGCCCATCTTCCACCTTAAACATTTACTCTCTCTACCACTGGTGCAGTGAGCCTGGACTAACCACATTCAATTTGCCAAGTCTGCTCTGACAACACCTTTCAAAACTGTAACCTTTACCACCTAGAAGGACAAGGGCAGCAGGAACATGGGAGCTCTAGCACCTGCAAGTGCTCCAAGGAACGCACCATCCTGAAGTGAAGATCTATTGCCCCTGCTGGGTTAATACTCTGAAACTGTCTAACTAACAGCACAGTGAGTGCCTTCTGCACATGTTTGCTGCACTTCCTCAAGGCCAGTTGGTGACTAGTGATTAATGCTGGCTTTGCCAACTGTACTCACTTCCCTAGAGTGACTTTTTTTTTCCAAAAAAATGCTCATTATTGTATTAAATAAAAATCCAGGGAAACAAGATGCTGGATTTAAACATAAGCTCAAGTGATCCTCTTTGACCCCTCTCAGATTCTTTATAACCAGAGTATTTACAATGCTGTGATAATAGAACCCTCCTAATACCACACAAAACAATTATAACTTTGTCAGCCAGCACGCACTTTGTACAAGAGCAACTGAAGGTACTCTGTTTCACCCTGAGGTTTAGAGTGCAATTTGTAGCTTGCCATTTAATGCAGCAGTTACTGAATGAATATACTGGTACATTCCATTCATTCAGCACCTATAATGTGTAATAACTGCCACAGTATTCTCGCAAGTGCGTTCCTAAAGATGGGAGAAGTTGCTGCGTTTCCGTTGTACTGCAGACTAAACCTCAGTGAAGCGTCAGCAACTTAGTTTCGCAGTATGTTTTAAAAGATAACACATCATTATAACATTTGAAAAATAGTCTTTGGAATTGGTGAATGCAGTTTTTTGCGCTTAGCTCTTTCCCCAGTGCTTTCTCAAGCTCCACAATATTTCAGGCAGCTCAACTGTGCTTGATAAGAGGAGCTATTTCTGGCAGCATCTTCAGTGTACAAAAATTAAACAATTCAGCTTCTCCTATAAGTAGGAATAATTCACGAATCCTAATTTTATCCAAATATTACACAAATAAAACTAATTTTTTTTGCGTATACACGTGTTTCTGTCCGACTAAGTATGATGCTCAAATTGAACAGTGGAATTACAGGCAGACTGACACAAGAGGGCACTGTTCCAAATCTGGCATCAGCTGAATCCCGTAGCTGACTGGAATAAAGCATTGATGGAACACAAGAGACAGTCAATAAACGACAGTAAGGTGGCATCTCAAAGCAGAAAAGTTTGTTAATCCGCTGTCTGTATGTAAATCCTCTGCTTAATCCGTTTTCTGACCTGGACGAGCTGACATTGGGATGATCTGTTGTCTCTCTCTGAATCCTGTCTAATCTGTTTTCTTTGCAGGTTTCCTGCTTTTCCACATAACAACAGCAATAAATGTTCCTGGGAGAAGAGGAGCACAGGACAGGGTCAGCAAAAATCCACTTTTATTGTGCAGAATTTACATCACAGAAACAGGCCCATTCAGCCCAACTTCAGCACAGGATTCCTCCCACCCTCACCCATCAACAACACGGCCTTCTCCTTGTTCCTCTCCATCCCCCTCGCCCTGTTTATCCAGCTTCCCATTAAATACATTAATTGTAACTGCTCGTTGTGATTCCACATTCTTACCTCTCACTGGGTAAAGTTTGCCCTGGATTCCTTACTGGAAATATCAGTGACCACCTTTTTTTTAAAACTTCATTCACGGGATGAGGGCATCGCTGGCTAGGGCAGCATTTATTGCCTGTCCCTAATTGCCCAGAGGGCAGTTAAGAGTCAACCACATTGCTGTGGGTTTGGAGTCACATGTAGGGCAGACCAGGTAAGGATGGCAGTTTCCTTCCCTAAAGGATATAATAACCTTTTAATTATGGGTGCTAGTCTAGTCTCCTTCACAAATAGAAATAATCAAATTCTACAATCCCTACAGTATGGAAGCAGGCCATTCAGCCCATTGAGTCCACACCAACCGTCTGAACAGCGTCCCACCCAGACCCACCCCATCCTGTATCTCTACACGTCCCATGCCTGATCCTCTCAGCCTGCATATCCCTAGTCACTACAGGTAATCTAGCATGGGCGATCCACCTAACCTGCACATCTTTAGATTGTGTGAGGAAACTGTAGCACTCGGCGGAAACCCACGCAGACTCCACACAGACAGTCGCCTGAAGCTGGAATCAAACCTGGGTTTCTGGTGCTGTGAGGCAGCAGTGCTAACCACTGAGCATCGTGCCACCCCATATCTCCACACTCACCCCATCAAACCTTCACAATTTTAAAGAGCTTTATATCATACTTTCAGGCTTTTCTTTTCTACAGTTAAAGACAAAATCAAGCCTGTTTCTGAAAAATTCTAATCTCTCATTTCCCTCACAGCTAGAGGCTATATTTTATGTCCTTTGACATCTTTCAGTTTCCTGCTGGTTACAAATATCACCTTCTCCTACTGCCAAGTGACTCAGACACTACTTTCACTGGCTATGAACAGACATTGAAAGAACTTTAATTTATCCTGTATCTTTCACACCCTCAGGATGTCCCATAGCATGACAGTCTCAATGAAATATTTTTCAAGCATAGTCATTGTAGTTAAGGCAGGAAATACAGCATTTAGACACAGTAACATCCAACAAACTGCAACATGATACACAAACAGGTCATCTGGTTCTTGCAATATTCATTAAGGCATAAATATTGACCAGGAGACAAGAGTCAACTTCCCAGCTTATATTTGATTAGTGCAATGAGATCTTTTACATTCAGCACATAATCAGTTTCTTTTGGCAGCAATGATCACAAGTTTTAAAAGAAACTGAATCTGAAAACACACAAAGTAGAGTCCCAGAGCATCACAAGACACTGGAGCAGGAGTAGAAGTAGGCCACTCAGCCCATCTAGTCTGATTTGCCATTTTATGGGATATGGCTGATCTGATAATCCTGAAATCCACTTTCCTGCCTTTGCCCCACCACCCTTGATTCACTTACTGAATAAAAATCAGTCTATCTTAGGCTTGAATATACTTCATGACCTAACCGCTATACTGAAGAATTCCACAGACTCACTACTCACTTAGAGAAGACTTCCTCCATATCTATCTTAAAAACAGTGACACCACCCCCTCCATTCTGAGATTCCACCCTCTGCTCCTAGACTCTTTCACAAGGGGAAAACAACCTCTCAGCATCTACCCTGTCAAGACCTTAATAATCTTATATGTTTCAATAAGGTCACCCCTCAGTCTAAAATTCCAATGGGTACAAGTCCAACCTGCTCAACTTCTCCTCATAACAAAATCCCTCCATGCCCGAGATCAGCCTAGTGAACTTTCTGTGGAATGCCTTAAGTGCCAGTATATTTTTTCTTAAATAAGGGGATCAAAACTGTTCACCATACTCCACCTGTGATCTATCTAGTGCCTTGTATAGTTCTAGCACAATTCCGTAATTTTTTACTCAATTCCCTTTGAGATAAAAGTTGACAGTTCATTTGCCTTCCCTATTACCTGCTGAACCTGGATGTTAGCTTTTTGTGATTAAAGCACAGGGATTCAAAGCCTTCTGCCATTGCTCTTCATTTATATAATATTGAGGCTTTCTACTCTTCCTTCCAAAGTGCATTACCTCACACTTTCCCACATGACATTCTATCTGCCAAGTTTTTGCCCACTCAATACATCCATATCCATCTTCAGACTCTGTGCATCATCCTCACTACTTACCTTCACATCTACCTTTCTGTCACCTGCAAGCTCCTCTATACTGCATACACTTCCCTCAAAGTAATTAATAGATATTGTTAATAATTGTGGCCCCAGCAGTGAACTCTTTTTCACTTCAATAGTTACTGGTTGCCATCTGAAAATGCCCCCTTTATCCCACTGCTCTGTCTTTTAATAGTTAACCAATCCTTTACCTATGGGCTCTCATTAAGTTGCCTTATGTGCAATACCTTATCAAAAGGTTTCTTAAAATCTCAATATCTTAGGTCGACTGGTTCCTCAATATTTATTCTGCTTGTTAGCTCCTTGAAGAATTCTAATAAAATTGTCAGGCGTGATTTCTCCTTTAAGAAGCCAATGCAGCAAATAGTCCTGGTAAACCAGAGGGCTAGCGAGTTTTAAAAGCCAATGAAATATAACCAAAATAAAAACAGAGAAAATAAATGAAGGGTAAACAAGTCAGCAGTATTAAAATCGACATCAAGAGCTTCTTTACACGTATAAAAAGGGAGAGAGAGGCCAAAATGAAGATAGGCCCCTTAGAGAATGAGTCTGGGGAAATAATAACGATGAATCAGGAAATGGCAAAGGAATTGAATAAATTATCTGCATCAGTCTTGGTGGTAAGGATGCTAACTGCCTTCCAAAAATACAAAGTAATCAAGGGACAAAAGGGGCAGAGGGGCATTGAGAAAACATACAGGGAAATTAGTGCATTAAAGGCTAGTAAATCTGCTGAATGCAAAAGGTTGCATCCTAGGATATTGAAGGAATTAGATGCAGAGATAATGGATGAACCGGTAGTAACATTCCAGGAACCCTTAGGCTAATAAGAAATCCCAGAGGATTGGAAAATTGTAATGTATCATCCTTGTTCAAAAAGGAGAAAGACAACAACAGAACAACAATAGGCCATTAAGCTTGATATCTGTCACTGGGGCAAATATTAGAGATTATTATGAGGGATAGCAATTGCACAGCATTTAAAATTTGTAATGTAATCAAGTACATTATATTATGTATTTAAACATTCTGCAAGTACACTGTACTTGATTATACTCTGGAGGAGTGGGACTTGAACACAGGCCTTCTGGTTCAGAGGTAGGGACACTACCATCAAATAAGGCTGCGGCAGTAAACCTGTAGCAGAGGAGGAAACTAAAGAGGTCAGCGCAGAAAGCACAGTCTTTTGTTGAAACAAAGAGTGAAGTCAGGCACTCACTTACCAACTAATAAAACCAGGAGAAGACCAGCAACTGCAGGCAAGATCACAGCATACTCACGCGGCAGGAAATAACTGTGAAGAACATGGCTACTTTCCACAAATGGCTGCAACATAAGAATTGTTTTGATCATTGTGTCTTTCTTTAAAACAAAAAGGTGGATAAATCCAGAGTCAAAAGCATTTTTACTCCGGGGGAGGCTGCAAGGTAACTTAAATATTCTCTGATTGGAGCGATTGAAGCCATGAATTATAATAGGAATGTTCAATGGTGATTATTGTACATATAAATAGCCAGATTACTACCACACAGACCGAAAAGGAGATAAAAATGGAATTTCACAGCAAAGTGATTGTTGGAGACAGTGTGTGGCAGTCATTTTCGCTCCAAGTTGGGCATTTGCAGCCTCTCCAAGATTCTGTGCACGTAGATCAGCGTCGGCACACTGATTGCAGCACCGACTTCTGATTCCAGAGGTCACTGCCACACACGGACGTTCACACAGATGGAAAGAAAACTAGCTGGCTGTAATCCCTCAGAACAAGGACGACACTTGCTCACTGCAAAAAAGTGCACTTACAGTCATTTTGCACAGAGAGGTTGCTGCACCACAGCTACTAAACATTTTAGGCTAACCAGGAAGCTAAAGCCGTCAATGTGTGGAACCACGGGAGATGGGTGAGATTCTAAATGAGTATTTCTCATCAGCATTTACTGTGGAGAAGGATATGGAAGCTACAGACCGTGGGGAAATACAGTATTATTTTGAAACGTATCCATATTATAGAAGAGGTGGTGTTAAATGTCTTAAAATGCATAAAAATGGATGAATGGCGGGACCTGATCAGGTGTATCCCAGAACTTTGTGCGAAGCTAGGGAAGAGATTGCTGGGCCCCTTGCTGAGAATGTTTTATCATTGATAGCCACAAGTGAGGTGCTGGAAGACTGGAGGTTGGCTAATGTGGTGCCATTACTTAAGAAAGGTGCTAAGGAAAAGCCAGGGAACTTTAGACTGCTGAGCCTGACGTCAGTGGTGGTTAAGTTGTTGGAGGGGATTCTGAGGGACTGGATTTACATGTATTTGGAAAGGCAAGGTCTGATTAGGAATAGACAACATTGCTTTGTGCATGGGAAATCATGTCTTACTAACTTGATTGAGTCTTTTGAAGAGACAAAGAAGACTGATGAAGGCAAGAGCAGTAGAAGTTGTCTTTGTCGAACATCTTATTGAAGTCCGTAAAGTTCCGAATGGTAGACTGGTTAGCAAGGTTAGGTCACAATGAATCCAGGGTGAGCTAGCCAACAGGATACAAAATTGGCTTGAAGGTAGGAAACAGAAGGTGAGAGTGGAGGGTTGGTTTTTGGACTGGAGGCCTGTGGCCAATGGTGTACGCAAGGATCGGTGCTGGGTCCACTACTTCTTTCCACTTACATAAGTATTTGGATGTAAATATAGGATGTATGGTTAGTACGTTTGCAAATGGCACCAAAATTGGTGATATTGTGGACAGCAAACAAGATTATCTCAGAATACGATGGGGCCTTGGTCAGATTGGCCAATGGACCAACGAATGGGAGATGGAGTTTAATTTAGACAAATGCAAGGAGTTGCATTTTGGGAAGGCAAATCAGGACAGGACTTATAATGATAGGGCCCTGGGGAGTGCTGCCGAACAAAGAGACCTATGGGTGCAGGTGGATAGTTCCTTGAAAGTGGAGTCGCAGGTAGACAGGGTGGTGAAGAATGTGTTTGGCATGTTTGCCTTCATTGGTCAGTGCATAGAGTACAGGAGTTGGGATGTCATGGTCAGGTGTACAGGACATTGGTTAGGCTGCTATTGGAATACTGCATTTAATTGTGGTCGCCCTGCTATAGGAAAGATGTTGTTAAACTTGAAAGTGTTCAGAAAAGATCTACAAGGATGTTGCCAGGATTGGAGGAGTTGAGCTATAGGGAGAGGCTGAATAAGCTGGAGCTTTATTTCTTCTGGAGTAGTGTCACAGGCTGAGGTTTATAAAATCATGAGGGGCATGGATGGGGTGAATAGCCAACTTCTTTTTCCTTGGCTAGGGGAGTCCATTGCTAAAAGACATAGGCTTAAGGTGAGTGGGAAAATATTTAAAAGGTACCTGGGGTGGGGGGTGGGAGGCGGAGGTGGGGCAAGTTTTTTGTGCAGAGGGTGGTGCGTGTATGGGATGAGCTGCCAGAGGAAGTGGTGGAAGCTGGTACAATTATAACATCTAAAAAGACATCTGGATGGGTACATGAATTGGAAGGGTTTAGAGGGATATGGGCCAAATGTTGGCAAATGAGACTAGATCATTGAATCCCTAGTGTGGAAGCAGGCCATTCAGCCCATCGAGTGCACACCAACCCTCCAAACAGCTTCCCACCTAGACCATGCCCCTACCCTATCCCGGTAACACTGCATTTCCAATGGCTAGTTGACCTAATCTACATATCCCTGACACTATGGGAAATTTAGCATGGCCATTCTACTTAACCTGCACACCTTTGTAGTGTGGGAAGAAACCCATGCAGATATGGGAAGAATGTGTGAACTCCCCACAGACTATTGCCCGAGGGTGGAATCGATCCTGGGTCCCTGACGCTGTGAGGTAGCAGTGCCAACCACTGAGCCACCGCACTGCCCCAGTTTAGGATATCAGGTTGGCATGGACGAGTTGGGCAAAAAGGTCCGTTTCCATGCTGCATAACTCTATGAATCCTGCTCTTACCATCAGTGATAGGTGCATCAGAAGGATTTACAGATCAATAATCAATCTGATGGGCTTTGCCCTGAGGCGTGCCTTGAACATGTACCTACTGGCCTAGAAATAAAGACACTACCCACTGTGTTATAAAACATCTTATTTGGAGGTCTCTATATGATGGAAGTTAATATAGTAACGTGCTTCATCATTTTTTCAGGCAGTATCTTTTGGATCATAACAACTTACCTCACATACTCATCAAACCGCCAGCTTTCCTATTGATGTAAATCTGCAACTTCTAGAACTGACTGCCTTGCCAATAGCTTAATATTCAGACATTACTTTAACAGAAACTGTTTAATATTAGATTATATAGATTACGTTGAAACTAAATACCTTCCATTCAGAGATTGATAGACTTCTGGACATAGTGAATCGAAGGACATGGGGAGCAGGTGGGAAAGTGGGGTCAAAGTCCAGGATTAATCACAATCACTAAATTGAGGGGTCACAAAATAGGAAACTTAAACAATTCTGGAAATTAATCCAAACGCTCAGTATCTTCTAGATTCATGGAATTATTTAAACTATCTAAATCTATCCGATGTCAAATAATTTTAAAATCAGCACTCACCAAAACAATGACCCAGATTGTGTAGTATGTGAAAACGACTAAGCTGAACCCCACCAGGCCCATTCCAACCACTTGGTCTGCTCCTGTTGCCTGAGAGAGGAAAAGAGGAGGGGTTAAGGGAGAAACATTGAAAAGCATGCTCTTTCATAAATGGCCAGTAAAGTTCATACCAAATAACTGCCAAGTATTCTAACAGGCAAGAATCTAACCACCTCCCCTTGATGCTTATAGTCGAATTCCTCACAGTCAACATCCTGGGTTTACCACTGGTCAGAAACCTACCTGGACCTGTGCTGATTAATTCACCACCTAACTCCACAAAGCCTGCCCCACTATTCATAAGACAAGTCAAAAGCATGAGGGAACTCTCCACTTAGCTGGAAGGGTGCAGCTCCAGCAACATCCAAAAACGTCAACACCATCCCAAGATAAAACAGACCACCTGACTGACATACAAACCACCGCCTTCAACATTCACTTCCTCCACCTCCAATGCACAGGGTAATGGTACCATCAACAAGATGCATTGTAGCAACTCACCAAGTCTCCTTCAACAGAACCTTCCTAATACACAATATCTACCTCTAGAAAGACAAGGGCAGCAGACACACAGAGACACCACTACCTGCAAATTCCCCTCTGAAAGATACACCATCCTGACTTGGAAATGTGTCATTGCTCCTTCAGGCAGAGATTGTCAAGACCTGGAAAGGGTATTCGCTTGTGAGAAACTTTGAAAAAGGAAACATAGGAGCAGAAATAGGTTATTCAGCCCCTCAAGTAGCTCGATCATTCCAGATCATGGCTGATCATCTACAAAAACATCACTTTCCTAAGCTATCCCCATATCCCTTAATGTCATTACTAACTATAAATTTATTGATCTCTGTACTTGCGTTATGACTGAGCTCCCACAGCCCTCTGGGGTACAGAATTATATAGATTCACCTCCTCAGATAAACAAATTCCTCATCATCTCAATCTTAAACAGCGTGCTTTCCCTCTCACCCTAAAATCAATCTAGTTCACAGGAATATTGTGCAGAAGAATGGTTAAACGCTTAGTATAACAAGCAACTTGGAAAGCTAATACAATGCTTTGCTGTTTATTGTGAGGGGGAATCAAATACCAAAGAAAGGAGATAACAAGGTGTAGAGTTGGATGAACACAGCAGGCCAAGCAGCATCAGGAGCAGGAAAGCTGACATTTCAGGTCTGGACCCTTCTTTAGAAACATCAGCTTTCCTG